GTTAACTAGGTAAGGACCCTTCTATCACAAGCTAGATGGTTGGATGGTCAATACTACTGTGATTTTATGTACCATCTGAATGCAATATTTTGGATTTGGATTTCTCGTTCTACTAGACGTCGAAAGAATAAGATGGCTAATCAAACATGTTTTTAAACCCCCGAGTCCAATATTTTTCACGACCTTCCCTTTATCTTATTTTTAGAGTCTAAGGTCTAACTCTAGAGTACCCTCCCCTGTTGGTCTTCCGGACTCCTCTTCAAAAGACCACAACTATTCCTACCCCAAACAAAAAAAAGTTGAAAACTATGCGTACCTGAGAGCACCCATAATAGTAGTATTTCCTGGTCGACTCCCAGTCCGGTCGATCCCCTTTTTGTCTTTTCTTCACTGGAGCGTGATGACGTGGAAAATGACTTGTCAAAGCTCGTCGAGCAGTAGCTTCGTTTTCTTCACAGAGAGCACAGCTGGTTGTAACAGGGCAGGACCTCCAAAATGAGCACTTGACGAAACGGGAGGAAGGAAAAAGAGAAGGGGGAGGAGTATAGAAGGAAAATCTATGGAGACCGAGAGACAGAATGATGGAAAAATGGAATGGAGCACCGAGAGGAGGCCCCGCCCATTTTTCGAGCTCTGCACCACACGACCTATTAAAGCAATAGAAAAAAGAGAAGGAGGAGAGAAAAAAGAAAACTTTTTTCTGTGAGGGGAGGAGAATGTTGAAACATTTTCCATTCGAATTATTTATGTGAAAAGACAGAAAAAGACTAAGCAAGTAAAAGGAAGAATGTTTTTGTGTTTAGCTCTTTTCTAGGATGAAGAGGATGAAGATCTAACGGGATCTTGTCTTTGTTCCATTGTTAATACAATGGAAATATGTGGGAATGTGAGAAAATGGGAATGGGAATAATGTAGACATGGAGAAAAAAAAGGATTCGAGGAAGTAGCAACTGAACATGTTGATCTTTTGAGATTACTCTCACAACTGTCTAAAAGGCTTGGTCAGATATCGCGCCCCACATAACTTTTAGGCCAGAAAAAGTTTAATAATTTCAAATTGAACATCGATTTGATGTGTATTTGTAATCAACGCGCTGCTGGAGCACTATTTCTGACCAAGCCTTTTTGACGGTTGTGATTACTGTAAGAACTTGCCAGAAAGAAACTGGGAATTGTTCAGCTGCTCAGAAAATACGAAAGAACATTGCATGTACCGTATTCCCTCTAACAGAAGCCCACCCAAGTCGTCGACTTTGAGTTCAAATATCTCGATCGATTCCTGTGAATATCAAAATTTTGTCAACTGATAATAAATTAATCATAATATCACCAATATTTAAACAGTTGACAATTTTTTGACATTTTTTACAGGAATCAAGATAATTGGGCTCAAATTTTTAAAGAGTAAATATTTACAGTAGTAAAGTTTGACAATGCTGTAACTCTACACTATTCTTATCCGATAAGATATATTGAGCCATTCTTACAGTATTCTTCTTTTTTCGTTAACCAAGCCAATTGGCCTTCTTTCGACCTTACTTTCCTTCAGACTGAACCTCCCAAAGTTCATAGACATAAAAAAGTTTCAAAAAGTACAAAATATACTCTAGGTCAAAATATGTCTGGAATGACCAATATGACTCGCCCCGCCAACTCAGAATTAGTCGGGTCAATGAGTTTTGTGAAAATTTTCAACAAAACTTTTCCTTTTTTTTTGTTATTCTTTTTTCTATTTCCTCCTACGAGTCCGAAATTCATTCGGGTCCCATGACCTTCATACACTTTTTGTGGCAATCAAGAAAATTTGGAACGACAAAAAACTGGGGGTAAAAATCCAGAAAAAAAGGACGGGAAAGAGGAAAAAAGTCAATCCAATATTCATGGAACTACTAAAATTCTGTGGGTGAATACGAATAAAGAGGGAGAAAAAAGAGAGCTTTCACGCGGAATTAATCAGAAAAAAATGAAGAGATGTAGATGAAAAAATGGGAGAAAATAGGAAAAAATGAACGGGGAAGGGACTGAAAGGTTCGAGAAGGAAAGAGTGGCCATAAAGTGAAAGACATGACAAGGAATTTCAATTTAGAAAAATTGGGAGCACTTCACTGAAAGTGCTGCTAGATAGACCTGAAAATGACACGGAGGGGAAGGGACTAAAAATACGAAAGTAGCTATATTTTATAGGTTCTTACTAACCGAGACGAAGACGTGACGCACGCATTCGAGTTGTTTTTAGAACACGGAATTTATGGTTTCAGGGAAATGAAGAGAGAATCGGTTTGTGATCTTTCAGATAGGTATTCTTTGAGGGAGTCAATAATATACCAAAAATGCTGTTATAGAAATACTGTATTTCTATTTTCTAAAGTTCTTGTGGAGATGTGCTTCTGATATGACTTACGATCTTTGTATACAGTACTGCTCAAAAGGTTGAAAATCTTACTTTTACCGAGTTTTCTCTCAAAGTGGAGGTACCGTAGTTCCTGTAATAGAAGCCCACTCAAACCGTCAAATTCGAGCTCAATTATCTCGATTCCTGTGAAAGATATCTGATTCTTTAAATTATAAACATACATGTGAATGGCCGGGC